TTATTGAATGAAATGCAACTATGATAAAACTACATAGCTAGGGCCAAATAAGCACGGTGTATGGCATTCCTAGATGCCAATGCACTTCTCAGCGATGGCAGTGATTCTAGTTTTGTTGTGGGTGTGAAAAAGTTCTCTATTTCATCAATCTTCATCTTTCTTGCTTACTAAGAAAAACGGTCACGTTTACTTATTTTTATGTTTACAAATTTTTTCATGTTCTAAAAAAAGAGGTGATGGATACTTATTTTCATGCATACAAATTTTCTCGCTTGCTAAAAAAAGTGGCTATGTGTATTTATTTTTGTGCATACAAATTTTTTCGGCCTACTAAGAAAAGAGGTTACGGGTACTTATTTTATGCATAACAAAGTATTATATAAACTAAGATCAGGGTTATACCTTAGATGTGCGACGGAGATGCGATTAGGCGAGGTGGTGCTTTAGACCTGTGATGCACAAGTATTTTTCTTTGATAAATTTATATTTTATTTAATTATATATATAGTTAAATGATGGGGGGGGTAGAGAAAGAAGAGAAGGATGCAACCTTTCTAGAGAGGGAAATGAGGATTTGATTAGGGTTTTGGTAGGAGTGATGTAGGAATGTTGTAGTGGTGAGGATGATGATAGAGAGAGAAAATCTCACTCAAATTTTAGAGAGAAAGTTTGGAAATTTTCTTTCTCTTGGTAGAGAGAAACGAGGGAATGAGGGTGAGAGGAGGTGTTTGAGATGGAGAGGTGTTTAGAGAGAGAGTTTATGGAATTTTTCTCTTTCTTGAGAGATAATTTTCTCTCTAGTTATAGAGAGAGAAAGTGGAGAATGATGGGGCTTTTTGGTTTAGAGGGTGTAGTAGGTGTTAATGAGGTTTTTTTTTGTGATGTTTGGTAGTTTGAGGGTGTGTGGAGAGAAATTAAAAATTTAGGGTCAGGGTTAGGGTTAGGTTTTGAGGAAGGAGAAGAAGAAGGTGGGGAAGGAGAAGAAGAAGGTGGGGAAGATAAATAGAAAAAAAGAGAGGGAAGAAGAAATGGAGGAAGGAATAAGAAGAAAGAAAGTAGAAAAATGAAGTTTGAGGGAGAAGAAGAGAAGAAGGGAAGAAAAGAAGAGAAGAAGAGTTTTCCTAGGAGTTGGGGGTGGCAGGAGTGGCCGGCGGCGGCGGGAATTTCACGAGAGGGAGAGAGGGGAGTCGTGAGGGAGAGCAAGCTTTGCATGAGTTTGGCGTGCGCGAGTGAGCGAGTTGGGTGAGAATGAGGTTTTAAGTAAGATTTAGGGGTATTTAGTTATAGGATTTTTTTTTTCATTTTTTAATCAAATGTGCCTCAACTTTGTCACCAAGTCATCGTTATTGTTCACGCAAGTCGATGTCGCCTTGATTCGTGCGTGCAAAATTATAATTGTCTCCTATCAACAACCCCAGCCAATATGGGTATTGTTCTTAGCTATTTCAGCTTTCTCGAATGCCCTTATGTTGCCCGTTTCTTCAACGAAACCCATTTCGGTGATTTATGTTTTTGGTCAATATGCGTTGGATGAGTTTTGCGTACGGTCGACTTAACAACGTCACTTGTATTGAGGTCAAAAGGATTCTTACATCTTACTCTTTCCTTGGAAGTCTTGCAAGGGTTGTTGTGCCACATGCTCAATTAGCCTTCCATTTAAATCAAAAATATATAAGGATATATTAAAAATGTAAGAGAATTCCCAAATTTCATTCAACTGAAGATAGCACCATCCATGATACATAAAGAGTATCTGTAGTATTGATAAGGGAAATTGAAAAACATGCTTGAAAATAAGTGAGAAATAAAGATTTGTATAGTTTGAAGAGACTTTTGTAGAATTCCAGTTAAGTTTGTATAGACAAATGCTTAATGTTGAGGAGATGAATCCAAGGAGTTGTCATATTGCAAAGAGGGAGAAGGGAAGGGAGTGGGATGGCCGGGTGGCCATGCCTTGTCAGATAGATAAAGCGAGGTGCAAGATGAGGTTTCATGGCCAAATTGTGATGTGGAAGTCAACAAGTAAGGTTAAGGTAAAAAATACGATCAATATTCTTCAATTGATGACTTATGTGGGAGAAGGAATATCATCGGGTTGGGTTCCACCACACAACATTTATACAACTCAAAGCACAAGTATAACACTTGATTAACATGATAGTGACTTAACAAAGAAGTTCACATGACTGAATATGACAAGATTTATAATACAAAAGGTCAAAATAAACTAAAAAATATATAGGAAAATACACCCAACACCCATATAATATCCTAGGTACACATGAATTAGGCTTGATGATTATGTCTCTAATGATGTTTCTGATGACACCCTGTATCATTTTTACTCTTGTGGTTATTTACATTGTGTTTTTAAATAAACATATCTTATGATTTTTTTTTATCACCCATGTTGTTTCACAAGTTCTTTTGATTTTTGTGAAGTCCCATGGTCAAAGATGATATGATGAAACTATCATTATGTAATTAGATAAAATTTATATGCCATACATGCAAAGTTACAGCTAATATGATGTGCAATTGAAGTGGAATGATGAGATCAAATTATTTTGTTGATAATAAAAATTAAATTCATTTAAGTTTTAAATTTTAATTGATATGAACTTAATTCATGCACATGTTAGAATACTACTACAACAACAACAACAACAGAAAGCCTTTATCCCACTAACATTTTAGGATACTAATAAATTAAATTAAGCATGAGTTCATATCACGCGGTTGCAGCAATTAGGATTTAATCTCACGATATCACTCACTCTCATGATGCAGTGGAGATAATTCACTTAAGCTTTATTGAAGTAGGGATTTGTTTGCAATTAACTCAAATATATGGCGTTTTTTTTAGCATAGTTCCTAAGCATGATACAAGATTGACCAATCCATATAAATTTAATCTAAAAATTTCAATTAAAGAGTATAGACAGAAGAGTCAAACAAAGCTACCTTTGTCATAGGTACTCATTAAATACTTAATCTCCATACTATCTAGTAGCATCAAATTAGTCCAGAAATGTTTTTTGAGTTTATTGTGGATAGTGAAAAGGTTATTGTTTGAGCTTAGGTTTCCCACCTAAAGGGAAGGTGGATGTGAAATAGTTTAGGGTGGCCGGGAAGGATTAGAGATAGTCTGAGCTGTATCCAATTAGCTGACTGGTGAATAGTGATAAAGTATGATGGATTTCTGTAAGGGCTGCATGGTATCACTGAAAATCTACAAGAGAAGTTGCTAGTGAGTCATGATCAGGATTGGCATGTGTAGTTGTTAGTAAGGCATACATAGAATGCTAAAAGTGCACAACTTAAGCAAACTGTCACTTTCTGAAGGAAAGGTGGGGGTTAGTGTCTTGTTGTGTAGATGGTTGTGCAAAGATATCATTAGTGGTGGAATTATGACTTTGTTTGGGACGACTTTCTTTCTACTTCTTAAAGCAGCTTTCTAGTACAAAATTAAAAATTTTTGTACTAAAAAGTTACTTTAAGAAGCAGAAAGAAAGCCATCCCAAACGAAGCCTATGTAGATAGAGAAATCTTGTGAGTCGATGAGATGCATAGGGTCACAGTGCAGGGCCAATTGTGGATGTGTGAAATATTGGGGTGGCTCATGGGGTGTCACTGCAGCGGTGAGCTTAAGGTAATCTAACTAGAGTGTTAAGGGGTAGCAAGGTAACAGCTAGTGCGATGTGCATGTGACGCTTATAAATGGTAAGTGTGCAAGGGTGATGTGACTTGGTTAAGGATGACAACGAGTAGGGTACCCACTCCTATTATATAACATCTGAGCCACATCCAATTAAATATACCATTACCTAAATTTATTTTTGAACTCAATGGGTTGCGATAACTAACTTATATGAATAGATAATACCCAGTGCTTGATAGTTAATTCATCATGGGTTTATAATATATAGGATAGAAAATAAACTTGTCTTATAATATACAATTTAGAATCAGATTTAAAAAATTTAAACTTATAATGATATAGTCAATATCATGCCTCATATATGTGTATGCAGACATGCATGCATGTACACACATATATATAAATGGGATCATAAAGCCTTATTGGTAAAGGATAGTTTCCATCTATGTATTTGGTCTGGGTGAATGAGGTATGGCTAGGGAACATTTTGATATCAAATTGATACAAAATGACACATCGGAAGGAAAAAAAAAAGAGGAATGGGTGCTTAATGGAGTTGAGGAAGGGGGATGAGAAGGAGATTGAGAATGAGATGAAGAAGGACATGAGAACGATAAACTGAGGCTAAGGTTTGAGGAAACCAATTTTATTCAATGTTCAATCATTAATTTAAAAGATCCTAGGTCAAAGGTCTCCTTATGTAGAGCTAATCCAATAGTTTTTACAGGAACATCTAATGACAACTCAAATTTTTATAAATATCAAATGACTAAAGTAACACAGAGAATAAATCCTCTTCTAATTTATCTTTTAAAACAAATAAATAATCAAATGTAGTCTTGATCAGACGGACACATGTTGACACATTCAACATGTTCTTTAAAGTTGATTAAATTTAGCTTAGAAATTATAATTATGATTTCTTTTGCATATTGAGAATAAGATGAAGGATATGTGGCTAAGATTTGAGAAAACCAATTTCATTCAACATTCTATCATTAGATTAAAAAAACCTTAGGTCAAATGTCTCTTTATATTAGAGGGTATTGATGACTTTTTATAGGAGCATCTAATAGTAACTTAAATTTATATAAATATCAATTGACATAAGTACATAACTTAAATTCATATAAATATCAAATGATCAAAGTAACGCAGAGAATAAATCCTGATCTATTTTATCCTTAAAACAAATAACTAATCAAATGTAATCTTGATTAGACATACACCTTCAACATGTTCTTTGTGTTAAAGTTAGCTTAAAAATCATAATTACGATTGCTTTAGCTTATTATTTTCTCTTCGAACTTATCATCTACTAACTCTCTCTCTTTTTCAGATCCGCCCTGACCGTCAAACTCTTTATTGGAGTGCCACTTGGCCCAAAGAAGTTGAACAACTTTCTAGACATTTTCTTTACAATGCATACAAGGTAAGCCTTGTGCCAAGCAGTTCCCAGGTGGGTTCGTTCATCTCTATCCCATCTGACAGAATCGGCTCGATATGAACAGGTGATTATCGGTTCCGCCGACTTGAAAGCTAATCATGCAATTCGCCAGCATGTAGAGATTGTAACAGAGAGTCAGAAATATAACAAGTAGGACATCCCTTAAGGACATCCCTTAAAATGCCACAGTTCCCTCTTCTAACATAGCTCGCTTTTTCTTTCAGATTAGTCAAGTTACTGGAGGATATTATGGACGGAAGTCGGATATTGATATTCCTCGACACCAAAAAGGGTTGTGATCAAATAACAAGACAGCTACGTACAGATGGTTGGCCTGCTCTTTCAATCCATGGAGATAAGAGTCAAGCAGAGAGAGATTGGGTGCTCTCAGAGTTTAAAGCTGGGAAAAGCCCCATAATGACTGCTACTGATGTTGCTGCTCGTGGTTTGGGTATATACATTATTTTTTCATATCGGCTTCATTTGGGACGGCTTTCTTACTGCTTTTTGTTGTATTAAAAAGCAGCTTTAAGAAACAATAAAAAAACCGTTTCAAACGAAGCCATGGTTGTGCATGCCTGATGTCTATAATCCTGGATGGGACTTTCATTTTGTTCTTACATTTTTTCTGATATTTTTGACAGATGTGAAGGATGTGAAGTACGTAATAAACTATGATTTTCCTGGATCTTTAGAGGATTATGTGCATCGTATAGGGAGAACAGGCAGAGCTGGATCTAAAGGAACTGCGTACACTTTTTTCACAGCAGCCAATTGCAGATTTGCAAAAGATCTCATTAACATACTCCAAGAGGCTGGACAGAAGGTCAGCCCTGAACTGGCTTCCATGGGTCGAGGTGCCCCTCCCCCACCTGGAGGTAAACCTTCTCAACACTTTTGTTTGGGACAGCTTTCTTACTACTTCTTAAAGTAGCTTTTTAGTCAAAATTTTTTATTTTTTTACTAGAAAAAATTGCTTTAAGAAACGGTAACAAAATCATACCAAACGAAGCCTTAAATGAACTGGAAATGAAATGAAGTGAAATCCTAGCAGTTTATTGATCATGAATCTATCGAACTAATAATGTGAAAATTTTCATTTTCTTCCTTCATATTTGAATCTAGAACTAATAATTTATTGATAATGAATCATTCCCTTTGGGCTCTTTATTTGGGCAAATTATTAGGTCCGAACATCCAATTAAAACTTGCCACGTTGTCTGCGCTTTGTCTGCGCTTTAACTGCGCTTTAGTCGCGCTTTGACTGCGCTTTACCTGCATTTTTGATACGCTTAATTTAAAATAATATTTTATTAATATCTGGATCTATCTCCACGTCCGATGACCATAAGTAATAATTTGCCCTTTATTTGACATCTCAAAGTATCATCAGGTTTTCGCGATAGAGGAAGAGGGTTGGGCGGAGGTCGTTCATGGAGCTAATTGCCATTCGGAGGGCAATTCTTTCAACCAACCAAGCAATCTACACACAAAAAGAACTAGTTTTTATCTAGTTTAACCAGTAATTGTGTATTATATTTTGCTCGGTGAGACCTTATAGATAGGTAGTATTGACTTTCAAAGGGTCTTCTGCTATTGTTCAGCAAGCAAAAATATTGCAAATCTTTTGAATTTGGCTGTTTTAAGTGATTGTCATGTTTTTATATTCAGCTGTAAAATATACAACCTTCTTATTCTAAAGAGTTTTGGCTATGATTTCGGCTTCATTTGGGATATTTTTCTTATTGTTTACTTTTTAGATCGCAATAGTAGTTTTTGTTTGTTCATTGCTTTCAATAAATTTGTACATGAAAGCTGCTTTTCTATAATAGCTTTCAAAAAATGGCTTTCTCTATAGCAATTTTACGATTATCTTTACAAAAAGCTACTGCGGTCCAACACGGGAGATTATTTTGTGCGGAGATCGGTTGTCGAATACCATATGAAGACCAACCATAATGCGCTACGTCAACGGTACCGAGCCGTGGTACCAGCATTACCGAACCACGATACCGAGCGAAGGGGTGGCGTAGTGCATTCTGGTTGGTCTTTGGACAAAGTTCATCGTCAAAATAGAATAATTTTTATGGCAATCAGTATCTGCTATCACAGTCTAAATTTTTATGGCATTCAATGTATGCCATCACTGTCTTATGTAATATATAATAAAATAAAAATAATATTTATTTAGGATATTAAATAAATATTTATTCAATATTAAAATATAATTAGTGAGATAATGAAGAAAAATAATTCGATTATGAGAATAATATATATTTAAATCTTTAAATCACATAAAAAATATTACTAATATTAATTTTTTTCGGTAACATATATATATTTTTATATATAAATTTATAAACATTATGTGTGATATACTTAAATCCTTTTATTAATTTTCAATAATCTCACTGATCTGTCTCTTTCTGCCAATTCAACCTGACAAATGCGGCAGATGCTTTGGTCCTGTGTTGTAACGGATGAGCCAACAAATTTCACCTCTACCTCTGCTACAATTATGAAAAGATTTTGTATGGTCATGCATAATCCAGTTTTTATTTATTTATTTATTAATCTCCCCAAAAAGAGTTTTTATTTATTTATTTATATTTAGGACCGAAATGTTTTGATGGATTAGGTATTCCCTCTTTTGATTCTCTTTATCGTAGGGTTAATTGCTCTTTTATATATGTCATGTATAAGTTTAATTCTCTCAGGAGCACTTGGTTTGAGCTAAATATGAATCCCCCTTGGAAATCACCCCCCGCCAATGCTTCCAAATCTTGGAAAATGATTTGTGCCACTGCTGTGCAAATTAAAAACTGTATCACGCTCTTGGTGGCCCCTAGTAGTAATTTTTCTATGCTTTGGAATCCTTGGTTTAATAGGAATTCGATCTTCAATGCATTACTCTCTCTTCGATTTCTCACAAATCGGTGAAGGAATTCATTAGCAATGATCAGTGAGATCTTCCCGATAATATCCCGATTTCTATATGTGCGTCTATCAAAGAGATAAGTATTCATGAGGAGTCGGCTATTCTCTGTAATGGGTCTTCTCAACCCTCTCTCAAGGATTTTATATCTCAACTTTTTTCTCATTTGGAGGAGTTTCATTGGTTTAAATTTATATGGCTCAAAAAAGCATTCCCTTAGATATGCTTGTTATTCTTGGATGGCTATGATTGGAAAGTTAAAAACTGCTGATTTATTAATCAATAAGGGGATCCAAGTTCACCTGACGTGCTCCTTTTGCCATAGTGCGCTTGAAAGCAATACTCACTTATTCTTTGAATGTGATTACTCCTTTTTGGTCCTCACGGCGACTCTTCATGTTCTTAACTCTTCCTACCTCATACCAAACCTTACACAGATTTATGATTGTATTGACAATTTATAGCAGTTCAATGTTTTTGATAAAAACTTTTTTTTTTTTTTCGATCAGCTGCATCATATACTACCTTTGGAGGGAGAGAAACAAACATTGTTTCTCTAATACCTGATCTTCTTCTGATTCTATTAGCATATTATCAATCATGCTATTCATCTCAAAGTGAAGAGCTGAAAATATAAAGACAAGATTTGGAAGTGTTTTTTAAATCCTTTAATATATGGAATCTTTTGATTGGCTTGATGGTTTTGTTTTGAGTGTCTTGGCTTCTCCGACTATGATGAGCAATGGCCGATCCCACCCATTCTCTCTTTGGATGGCCCTTGTGGCCACCATAGAATTACTGCTGAATGGAATTTCTTTACTTGCTGCTGAGGGCTCTTAATGGCCACTGTGCCCTATCATTTTGTTGGATTGGTTTCTCTGCTAGTATTGGCCCTTTGGCAACCAGAGCTGCCTTCGTTTTTTTCAGGATGCCTAATTCTTGATGATTTTGATGACTGGGGTCATGCCTGGTTTCTCCGAGTCGTTTTGGTTTTGATCCCTCCCAGCCATTTTTTTTGGCATGTTGAGGGATTCTGGGTTTTGTATTTCTGACTTCTTTCCCTTAGTCTTTTTTGGCTCTTCTCCCCTTTTATAGGTTTTCTTTTTATTTTACATTGTAACTTGTTTTTTCTTTAATATATGGGCTTTTGTCTCGGGTTTTAAAAAAAAATGTCAATTAAATAAACTCAAATATTACATATATAAGACTCGAACTCAAGATATCTTAGGTTTCATTTGGGACAACATTCTTAATGATTTATAAAACAACTTCTTAGTAAAAAAATTCTAGTTGAAGAAATTTTGTACTAAAAAGTTGCTTTGTAAAGTAGTAAGAAAGCCATCCTAAACGAAAGTAGTAAGAAAGCCATCCTAAACGAAAACTTACGCTTCTTTTGGGACAGCTTACTTACTGCTTCACAAAGCGGCTTTTAAGTACAAAATTTTTTTTTTTTTATTAGAAAGTCACTTTAAGAAGGTAGGAAGAAAGCCGTCCCAAACGAAGCCTTAGAATCCATGATGCATATAACACAATTTTTTATTTTTATTCATTCATGAATCCAAGATGCAATGAAAAACACATTTTAACCATCTTAAGCTTCGTTTGGGTTGACTTTTTTATTATTTATTAAAATAAATTTTTAGTACAAAAATTTTAATTTTTGTACTAAAAAGTTGTTTCAAGAAGCAGGAAGAAAGCCATTCCAATGAAGCCTTAGTATACCACATAACAATATCATCATATACTAATTTCCCATTAATGTTCAAGGGATTGAAATCATGTTTCCTTGTAGCAATGTTATGCTTTTATATCATAGAAAAAAAGTTTACTTTTTTCATAGTAAAATTTTACAAGAGAATGTTAAGAGATTGTTGATATTCAGTAAAATCACATGATGATTGTATAATATTAGTGGGGTTAGGATTGATCCTTCTAAGATTTAAGTGTAATTTGGAGTGCAACAACTAAGTGATGGGGATGACCCTTGGCCCTTTTAGGTTTAGGAAATTATGTAAAATGTTGAATAGTATCCGACCCTTACATAATACACTACAGGAAAATCACCCAAAACCGGCAGTTTTTTCCGGCGGTTCTAGTGAAAAAACCGGCGGTATTTGAATATACCGGCAGCTTTGCAGCGAGTGGGATTTGAGTATGTCATGATAGGAGAATTTTAATTTAGTTTTGTTCAACATTAATGATCGTTATCATCTCATAACAAGACGTACATTCATGAATGCACAAACTCTAGATAAGCGATTTCTCATATTATCGCAAAATATAATTCTTAAGAGAATGTTTTGTGTCCTAGGTTTATCCTCTGACCTCTTATTTATAAGTTTAGGTTGTGGAATAATTATATAAAAATATTATATTTAAGGAAAATAATTAAATCAATTGATTAGTCATAATGAAGACTTTTCATAAATAAAAAATACTTATTACCATAATTACATTAGTGAGTTTTATATAGTCTTTTCCTTTTCCTCAACTAAACTATACAGATATGTGCAGTTAGGCGAGCATAAAACCTTTTAGATCACACAAAACCTATCGAAGAATTCTATACATGAAAAAAATAAGTAATATATATAGGGCTGTGTTATTATGCTTTCATATGTTCGTCAAAACATTCATAAACAATTATTAATATATTGATGAATTTAAGGCTATAGTGTATAGTAGACAAGCTGGCTATGCATAATTAAACTAGCATAGATGTAGTTATAGAATAAAGGTCAAAAACTTAGTCCCTTTTCAATGTGCTTGTCCATATTTGATAGGAGATATCACATTTCAATTACAAGTCAAAACATAAGAGAGAAATATAGTTGTCATACAATCATTTTGACTTATTAGTTGTATACGAGAAGTCGCGAATGTATATTGTTAATAATCCACCTTTTTGGGGGATGTTTGGTCGGAAGTGGTCATATAATCATTACGACTTATTAGTTATATATCGGAAGTCACAAATTTATACAATTAATCATCCATCTTTTAATTAGGGGTTGTTTGGTTGGAAGTAAAATGAGTATAAAATGAAGTGAATGCAGAGGTTTTGAAAAGTTCAATGTTCGGTTGGATGAAAAAGTAAATGCAATATATTTATTAAAGTTCATTTTTTAGGTAAACTGTTCTCGCCTAGTTTTAAGCAAGAACCGTTTATGCCGCTCAAAAACTTGTACCGCTGGTTGCCGACCACCGCTACCACTACCGCCAACGCTGGTCACTAGTCACCGTCGACTTCCCTGAACACAACTTTTTTATACTTTACATTACATTCACTTTACTTCAAACCAAACAAAAAAAAAGTAAAATCATACATTCTTTTTACACTCATCCAAATAAATTCAAAGTATTCCTTTTTACACCGTATTCTTTGTACATTGCATTCTTTTTACACTACATTACTTTTTCAGGAAACCAAACAACCCCCTATGGCCTTAGATCAGAATGAAAAAAACACTTTAACATTCACACAAATGTAAATGTCATGTCTATGTTTATGATATGCCAATTGTGATTTTAATTTTATTTTATTTTTTTTGAAATGCCTTATTTTCTAAACATATATATATATATATATATATATCCAAAACATTAACATGCAAAAATATATGGATGTCAAAAATAGTGTTCATTGAATACTTGTAAGCAAGTGCATATATGTGGATAATCTTTCCTTGATGAAATGATATTAATAAATAGATTATGTGCACAACAAAAAAATTTGATGTAAACAAGTAAGAAAAAAGAAATGATTATTTAAATATTCATTACTTATATGAGTAAGATCTCATTACTTATTCGACTAAGTTATTTTAATGACCGCATTTAATAATTAATAATAAAATATATTATTTAAACACCTTAGGTTAGGCTTGTGAGTCAAGCTTATCAAGACACATGCTTTGATCTCTAGCTCAAATTGCAGCTTGTATATTAAAAGAGCTTAAGTTTAAATGTAATGAATCTTGGCTCATTGACTTGCAAGTTAGCTCAATTAGAATAAATATATAAACTTCCAATTTCTCCTTGTTAATCCTCAAACTAGTTTAATTAGGAGGTTGTAAGTCCCACAAACTCCTCTTCTTTTTCAAATGATGTTGGTCACATTCATGCCTTTTTTAGTGAGCTCCTGACATGACTTTCTTATAAATTGTTGTCTATACCTTCTCATACTACAGCAAAACATGTGATTACTGGCGGAACATTTATGCCGGAAACAATGAATTAACGTCAGAATTTTTTTGTTTTCCGGCGAATTTCTGGCGAAAAATCATACGCCAGTAAAATACGCGTCAGAAACAACATTCCGACGCAATAATTTCGCTGGAAACATTTCCGGCGGTATTTCCGGCACAATGCCGGCGGAAACGTATGTAATATATGTCATTTTTTAATAGATTTTTCCGGCGCAAGTTCTGCCGCTTTTTCTGGCGTATATTTGCGCCGACAATAGCGGCAGAACTTAAGCCGAAATTGTTGCCAGATCTCATTTTAATCGAATTTTCGGCGTATAGTTACGCCGGAAATAGCGACAGAACGTATGCCGAAAAAAACGTTAAAACTCAGTTTAACCGATTTACCGGCGTAAGCACCGCCGGTAATACCGGCGCAACATTACGCCGATAATGGTAGTAGAAGTTGTGGTATCGTATGGAGGCGCACTTACCGGCGGATTTTCCGCCGGAAACCTGTAGCAGATAGAAAAAAAAATCCTTCCAACAATCAAAATGGATTTTCAAACCTGCAAACAAATTCTTAATTCTCACATCACATCTAAATATCATGTAATATCAACATCTGATTCACAACATATAAACAATACCAAATACATATAAAAAAACACAATTTATCCAATAATTAAACAATATCAAAAACATCTAAACATCTCAACTGTTCCAAATATTAAACATTCAATTGTTCAAAAATTTAAAATTGACACAACTACTATGATTCAGTCTCCTCCGCCTCAGAAACTATATTCTTCTGACTAAGCTGCTCTCTAATCTTTCGTATTTCATCCAATAATTGAGTATTTTGCATTTGCAACTGCTGCCGCATCTATTGTTGTTACATCTGCTGCTGCATCTGCATCTGCATCTGTCAATTAACCGACGGATTCTACGCCGGTATATCAACGCACTGGCGAATTAACCGGCGTTATATACGGAAGATTACGAGCGTATTAAACGCCGGTAATTACGCTGGACATTGTTTGGTGGAATATTCGCCGATTAAACTGTTGCTTTAAACGACATATACATATCCGCTGGAACCTCCGCCAAAAATGAGTTGTTTTCCTGTAGGATCACTTAGCTCTCGTCATGACTTTCTTAATGTCTCCCCATGGTTAGCTTCTCCAACAAGTTCTCACAATGACTTCCTTGTCGGTAAATTTACGGCGTATTTTGCGCCGGAAATGTTGACGCAAAATTTTCGTCGAACAATTCCGCCGGTGCCTGCGCCGTTTATTACCGGCCACAATTTTCCGCCGGAAAATCCGACGGTAATCGCGTGTTTTCCCATAGTGGTTGTTGATCCCTTTCCCAACGAGTTATAATTGTGACCCTTCTCCAAAGAGCTTCGATTATGAATTCCTTGCTTCTTTGTTATCAAGGGTTTAGAGCATATTAAGGAGAAACTTGAGTTTATGAGTCGAACTCAAGCCACAAGTTTATATGATCAATAGAGCTTAAGCTTAATATCTAAGCCTCAATTGAGCTCAAGATCGAGCTCGAACCTGCAATGAGATAGGCATGTCAAGCTTGAATTAGCTGTGATGGCTCGAGTTTGACTTAATATGTTTGCTCATCAACTAATATTTGAAATATATCAATGTTATAAATCTTATATGGTCAAATGATTTTCTAGAGGGCCTTCATTTAGCTCCTAAATATTAAAAGACAGACCCATCAACCAATCCTACTACGAATATGAACATAAAGTTCATATCTAGTGAGGATTGAGTCTCTCTTCATAGGCATCTAGAGTTAATGAATTAGGTGGTGTTACATATTTAATGAGCTAGGAGGTATCACATATACTATGAAAACTTTATCCTTATTTAAACCATTTTGCATATATATATATATATATATAGTGTAGTTAGCTTTGATTTAATTAATGGTATTAGCTTTTCATTTTGGGTTAGATGAGTTTATATATAGTGTAGTTAACTTTAGTGAAGATATTAATCCTCAACCAAAAAAAAAAATCTTGTATATGTATATGAAGTATGCAAGTGTACAAGAACAACAACAACATCAAATACAACAAAATAAGCAGTGCATTCTTTCTTAAAAAATGTTCAGCCACAAGAAAATCAAGTAGAAGTAACATATGATCACATACTGTATAATCAATTGCAACAGATGAACAAACTTGAGTAACAATATTATTCCAATTGTTCCAACAAAGAAGATTAGAAATGAAAGTGAAAAAAAAAAAGCTTTCATACTAGAATTAAACTTTGACACTTTGTTGCTTCATAATTCTCTCCTGAACTTAGGCTTCATTTGGGACAACTTTCTTACTGTTTTTTAAAACAGTTTTTTAGTAAAAAAAAATTCTAATTAAAAAAAAATTTTATACTGAGAAACTGTTCTAGAAAACAGCAAAAAAATCATCCTAACGAAGCCTTAATCTACTCACTCCACAAGCGCTTAATCAGTACAAAACATTTAAACAGGTAGTAAATTTAAGGATCATAAGCTGCAAACAATACCAGATGATAAAGCCATTAATAAGATTGCTGCATCCTTCTCATCCTGAGGAAAAACTCGGTTTAAAGCTAATAAGCTCTTGTTTAAGCTTATTACAATATCTTCAAATGAAAGCGTCCTCTGAGAAGTCTCAGCTGAAGTAAAAAACCTGCACCTCTTTTTGAAAGGGACACTGCAATCGACCTTCAATGCCTTATTCATTCGAGGCTTGATGGTGACCACTGGCTGCAGTTTGCCGCTCACTGCAGTTAATGCAGTCGCCATTGCTTTTCTTGCTTTCCTTTGCTTTATGCCACAGGCATTACAAAGAGACTGTATCACAGATATATTTTAAGAGAAAGAGTCTTAGCATTTCTTAAGATAGTTAAACAGTACATCAAATCATATCATCATCATCATCTTCATTAATTTTATCCTATGTTCATCATTTTTCATTCATTCACTCTAAATGATATCTTAAAGTACAGAAAAATCATCAATTATCGACGTCACTTTAATTTCCGGCGGTTTACATATATTTTCTGGAGGTTTGTAAAATAACCAGAGGTGTAGGCGCCGGTTTAAACGCCGGTAATTCCGACGGTCTTTTGACCGGCGCCGGTAATCAGCAAATTTTCTGTAGTGTTAGGTGTTTAATCTATCCATCAAATCTTTTCTTCAATTTTTTTTTTTTTAGATTTATCTTTTCTAATTTTATAATATAATAACAATATTGTTATATTAAGCCCCAAGTTCTAAATGAAAAAAAAAATGGAGGATTATGTTAAGTTCTCGACAACCAGTGTAAAATTTATATATTGAATAGTACTGATACAAATCCTTTAATTTTATAATATATTAATTCATGTTAACCATGCTAAATTTAACAATCAAACAACTAATTAGTTATTATTTAAGCTTGAATTTATATAATATCATTAGTTTAATTATAATTTTTTAAAACTATCATTCAAAAATTTGAACACCAAATTATCATTCTTATTGAATGGACACTCAAACACAGCATAATGATAGTTACCTTTGGCCCAAGAGGGCCACTTCTCCATAAGGGTGTCTTTGTTGTGCTGCAATCAGAGCAAACTCTACTGATTCCTCCATTATTGCTACTCCCACAGCTGCTCTGATCTTTGTTTCCTTTCTTCTTCTGATCATCTTGAATTTTCTGACGCCTTCTTTCAACCTTTCTTACTGTATTATTTTGATCTGAACACATAAGCTTTCTCATAATTCTCATCTTTGATGACATCCACTTGACTGACGATTCATGTTGATCTCCTTCTCCAGGTTCATAAAAACATGAAGAAGAGTACTGATCATCGCTTGATTCTTTGATCTCCAACTGTCTTTCCATCTATTTATGATGAGGAAATCAATGGAGGGATCTTATAAATGTAATAATTAATACATATAGAAGAAATCATATTTTTATGAAGATAAGCTGATTACCTCTTCTTCTCTTGTTTTGCTTGGTGGTGAAGGAGTTGATCTCTTGTTTGCCTCTTCGATAGAGATACAGAGATAAATAGAGAGAGAGAGAGAGAGAGAGAGAGAGAGAGAGAGAGAGAGAGAGGTAATAAAGGACCACTTGATGAGAAATAATATGTTCCATTTGTCATGGAGAAATGACAATTGACAACCTAATTTTACAAAGGATCCAGCATAAATACAATAACAGAAAAGAATAAGATGTTGGAAGGCTTTCACGTGAATCACTTTTTTCAATTGAGAGGGACACAACAGTGCTCAAGGTTTGAAGGCTAAACAGCATTTTAGAACAAAAATTTCTTGTAATCAAAATTTTTTACCAAAAGTTTCTTAAAGCAACTTTCTAGTACAAAAAATTAAAATTTTTATACTAAAAAGCTGTTTTAAAAAGCAGTACAAAAGCCGTCTCAAACGAAGCATGAATCTTCGATCTTGATAATTTGACATAAGTTCTTGAACAAATGAACAAAACTTTCATCGTAAGTTATTTCAAACACTATATATATCCCTAAACAATGCTTTGTTGAATGCAATTCAAACTCTTAAACTAACAAATGAACAAATGTTGTGCAGAACCAAAGCCTGACAAGATCTCTAAGAAATGTGAGAGTAAATTAAGTGGGTGGATGCTATTCGATGAGTGGATGTACTGATTTGACTGATAAAATAAAACAAATCAAATGCAGATAAGTTGAAGTTGCAACGTGAAGATGAAATCAGTGCTCGACAATGGCCATCAATAAAAATCGTATATAGTTTCTATGATTCTTAGTGCTGATACGTTCACCATTCCTATATCACTCCTACTAATCTTTTCATATCGCAAAAGGGAAAGAGAGAGAGAAATGTAGAGAGAGACATTATATTATTAGAATCCTGAGCTGGAAGCACCAATGGAGGAGATTCTGTATTGTGATTATATCGCACAACTACAGTTTCTAGTGCTTGCTCAACACATTTGGACATCTGAAATGATTTATCCTGTGATCAATTGGGACATATATAGGAATGCTGACTGTTCCAACATCAAATCCTTGGGCTTATTTTTGATTTATACAACAATTACAATTTCATCTGGTTATTATTTTCTCACTATTTTTTAGAAATTTCTACGAAGAAAAGATGATTTTTACGATTAGAATTTGTTTGGGACGGCTACAATTTTTTATAAAGTTAGTTGTAAAATTATTATGAAGAAAATAACTTAGCTAATCTTATTGTAAAAAAAAAACAGATTTATGTCACAATATTTTTAAGAAGTAACGAGAAAATAGTATACAAATGAAATTACGATTGCTATCTGAAAATCAAATCAACAAAAGGTTGTCTCAAATAGACTTTTAGAATAGCTAAATTATTTTCCTCGAAGCAACTGAACAATCAACTTTATAAAAAATTTACAACTATATATCCCAAACAAGTCCCTTCACTACAGGAAAACCTGTTATTACCGGCGGACTTAATCCGCCGGAAACAATGTACAATCCGACGGAACCGGTAGTTTCCGGCGCATGTTCCGGCGCAAATATCTCCGCCGACGGTAATCACGTGTTTTCCCGTAGTGCTTGGAATGCCTTTGTTTAGGTAATTTTGTTTAAGATTTTATTTGGGACAACTTTCTTATAAAAATGATTTTAAATATAAAATTTTTAGAACTAAAATTTATTTTAAAAACAATAAGAAAACTTCTTAAAGAAGCCTAAGACTTTATTTGATACAGCTTTCTTACTGCTTCATAAAACAGTTTTTTAGTACTAAAAACTTATTTTAAGAAGCTGTAAAAAAGTCATAAAAAAAGCTTAAATTATAGCTCAGAAAAAAAATATTGAGCTTGATAATCTATTTAATATTGCCCAATAATATTTAATATTATAAATTATAAATAATATTAATAAATTTTATATTGCTCTGAATAAAAATTTAACCATACATGAAATTCTGAATAATCTGCCAGGAATAAAGAAAAGTTAAATTTTATGTTGATTGGTTCATGTTAAATATACACAAATACAAACTAATTATAGATCAAAAATTGACATGGCATAAAAAAGTATCTTGCTAATAAAATGGAATAATGAATTCTAAAAGTATTATTCATTTTATAAAATAAAATAATTTAATTTTGAATGAATTTATTTATGAAATTAAGTATCTATAATAATAAAAAAATCCTAAAATTAACTCCCACTCAAAAGGGATATCATGTACAAATACACATCTCTTTATGTTCATAGACCACCTCATGTCGAACTTTTATTACGTCCTCTGACCGAACGTAGCTCTACGTTCGGTCAGAGGATTGTTACTCGGTTTTTGCTTGGTATTTGGTCGGTATTGC